GATCATTTTTTCACACGGGTCTGTATTTACACATTTGTAATTTATTATGTTTTGACATTTGCATGAATAACCAATTATTTTTTTTAATAGGTATTTTCTACAATTGGTGTATTTATGGATCCTCACGCGATACTTATAGATGGTTTGCATGCGAAACAACAACCGTACTATCAGGTGTTAAATTATGAAATTTAAATTTTGGATTATTAAGAGTAAATTAATTAATTAATTAATTAACTTCTTTTTTTTAAAAAAATAGCAAATCGCGTTTCTAGAATTATGGCATATTTCAAAATTTGATCATGACCGACGTGTTGCGATATATGCGGATTTCAATCGCAAACAACCTTTTAATTGTATTTTGCATAATAACCCAACTTCTGCCTGGACCGAGATTTCACGTACATGCATGGACTTTATATTAGGACTTGCAAATGCTGCACAGAATGAGATCAAAACACAACAACGTAGAAAGTTGGAAATGAAAAATAAGTACGACTTATTTAAAAAGCTTACAGAAGCTGCTAAAAAGCAGAAACAATCAGTGAAAGTTGGGCAGAGGAATCTTGATGTTGGTGTTACCGCGGATACATTGACTAAAGATCGTGAATATTGGGATATGAAATTACTTGAGTGGTTTCACCCTGTAGGAGGCAATCAGCGACCTTTTGTGAGGAAATTATATTGCCTTCTGGTAACTCCTTTATTTAAGAGATCTATTGAACGACGAACAAAGAATGTGTTTAAAGACTTACACGTAACAGTATATGCTATTCAGGGTAATAAATATAATTATATTAGCGCATATTTTATAAATGAGTATTTAACTGATATTTTAAATATTTATAAACGCTAGCTCTGACAATGCTTACAGTCAGATCATTGCATGAGGATACGCATGGAATAGTTCAAAATGATATCTCTAATGTTTTCGAATCAATGTTAGACTGCTTAATGTCGCTTGAACGTTATGCCAAGGAACCACCGTTAGATGATTGGGACATAGGTGATCCATTTACGGATACACCCTATAAAGTCTTGGCTGACCCGTTTATTGTTATCAATGGTTAGCAATATGTATTTTTTATGTACTATAAATTCCTTATTATTTTGATTTTACTAATTGTTTTTACTTACAAAATGACAGTAATAAAAGATGCTCTGTTTGATTTGTCTGCCGCATTTATGCCACATATGAGCTACGTTAAACTTACTTCTGTGCACTACGATAGACTAGATAAATTAATGAATGAGAGGAGATAAACAGTCTTGTGATGGCGCGTGGCGTAAGCCAATCAAGAACATAAATAAAATAAAATAATACATTTTTTTTTACTAAGAAATTTTTCGTAAAAAAATATAGTGCTGGAAGCATATAATAGGCAATAAAATAGTATAAATTTAAAACGCATCAACTTTTTATAGAAGCAATATTTTTAAGAACTATTTGACAAATTTGTAGTACTTATTAAGAACAAAGTTACCGGTCAGATTTTAAAAAATTTTGCAGTTATAGTATTTTAAAATTGAAACATATAATAATTATATAAAACAATGGTAATTTTTAAAACGTATTAACTTTTTATACAGGTTTTTCAAAAAAATATTTGGCAAATTTATAGAACCAATATTGCTCTACAAAGTTACCAGTCAGATTTTTGAAAAAACCTCTTGTATAAAAGTTATTGTGATTTAAAAAATTGAAACATGTTGAGTATAGGCTTCTAGCACCATAGTATTTTTTTTTTAACTGTTATATATAACAACTCTGCGAATACAGACCCGTTAAAAGTATTCTCCTTTAATTCGTTATAATAATTTGTTTGAAAAATTTCAATAAAGGTTTAGGTGTTATTTATATATCGCACTATGCGATATACTTCTATATCGT